GATCGAATTATTATAAGATCGGACTGCGTCAATATGTCTGTCGGTACTTCCATTTTAACTGTCGAAATGTCAGAAAAATTCAAAATTTTAATTTCAATTTCCAATTTTATCCGTTTGACCCCAAAATATTTCCTTTTCCATTTATTTTTATTTTCCCAAATTTTTTCGTGCTGCCCGAGAAAGACGATTAGATCGTCCATTTATTTAAAGCACAAAAAAAAAGATAGAGAAAAAAAAATTTTTTTCTCGAGAATCTCTTTCTATCGCCCACCCATTGGAATTTTTCTTTTCTCTGATGGCTAACTAAAAAATTAAAAAAAAAGACAAAACGATTAGATTGACCAGCTAGCAGCTTTTACTCGCGCAAGTCTCATTTAGTTTATTTATTTATTCCCCACACACACACATAAAATTAAAATAAAATTAAAAAAGGGGATATTGCAAAAAGACAATAATGAGGTGGAAAATGGGATATAGGAATGCTTTTTGTAATCTCTAGAATTTTTTAAATTAAATTTTAAAAAACGAGCTCCCCTAAAAAATTTTATTTAACGTTTATTGTCTATATCTCGTTTGCTTTATTATAAAATTTTTTTGATCCTTTTATTTACTTCTTAAAATGTGAATCAAAGCATTTTCGAAATTCGATTTCCTATTTAAAAAATTTTTTTTGTTTCAAAACATCTCTGATATGTATGGACCAGAGAACGAGCCGTCCCGATTCCCGAAAATCGGGAATTTTGTAAGGTGTCTCGTGGACACCTTAAACATGTTACTAGACGAAAACGTGAAGGGGTTCTCCAAAAATTTCATTATCATTCTCGATATTCTCTTTATTCTTGAGCATGATTCTCGATCTATATAATGTACAAAGCTCTCTCTCCGTCTTGCTAGGTCTCCCATTCTTAGCATTATTAGCTTAATCATCCCTCTATTTATTTTTAAAATGTAGTTAGCTCAATCATCTCCATAAAAAATAAAGAATATTTTTAACTTTCCACAAATTATTATTTTAATTATACTTTTCTCAAAAAAATTCATTTTTAACTGATTCAAATTTAAAAACAATAAAATGCCCTTTCCATGTTTGCCCCAATTTTCCAAAAAAAAAATTTTTCTTTGTTTTCTGCGAATAATTTTTAGTAGTTTTTAAAGAATATGCATGTCTTGTTGATTTATCATTTGAATAAATCAGCAATTTATTTTTTTAATTTTTTATTTAAATTATTTTCGCTATAATGAATATAACCTTTTATTATCCCTCTTAGTTTAATTAAACACTTGCAATTAATTTTTTATTTTATTTTTTATTATTTTTATTAGTTTATTACTAATAATTTTGGATGATTTTTTTCTAATATTTTTCTTGTTTTTAGCTTCGGTAGCTATCCTATATTTTTAAAAGAATTTTAATAGAAAATAGGGTTCTTAATAGAAAATAGGAGAAAATAGGGGAGTCGGAAATAGGGGAGTTTTTTCGTGCCTCATTTTTATTGGGCCGGCCCGACCGAGTCTTTTTCGGGCCAAAATTCGATGCCCGACTCGATCTTTCGGATCGGACCTGCCCACAACCCTACTAAAGAACCACCGACATATTAGACCAAGGATCATGCCGTCCCTTTCCCACGATCAAGTATTTCCGTTGTTTTCCGGATTCATTCAATCAGGGATACTATTTCTTATGTCAGCAGTAGGATTCCCCGCCGGGGAACAGCCCTAGTCAGCAGTCAAAAAATTTCCTTGAAATATTTTTGTCCGTTTTAAATAATTTATTTTACTCATCTTTTCTCTCATTTATGATTCTCCCTCAGCTAAATTTATTTAAAAAAACTAGCCTAATCATAGTACAAAAAAAATTATTTTTTTATTAATCATTAACCCCGTTATGTGTATACCTAAATTCTTTGGTTATTCTCTATTTTTTGATTTTTTCTAAATTCTTCATTAATTTTTTCTCAATTTTCATGCATGAGGAATGGAGATAGGACTGAGAGGTTTTGTAAAATAATAGAAATTATTATCTTGAAAATCTCACTTCTCTATAACCGAGATTTTAGTTCGGGATCTCTTCTCAGGAAAAGACTAGACAGGTACTTGGTCTTATCTAAAATTAGGACCACTTTTTAATTTCATCACCCCTTAAATCACATCTAATTGAGGATTTTATTTCTTTGAGTCAGTATTGTTTCTCGCCGAGAAATGGACCGAGAATTTCAGCATCGACTTCAAGAACGAGAATGAAAAAAGCCGAGAATCTCAGTATCGTTATCAGTCACGGTCTTTTCCAATTCTATCCTAAACTCCAAAAACTCCTTGAATTCTGATTTAAAAATTTTAAAATTTTAATAATTTAAAAATTAAAATCTATTAAACTTCGCGCGAAATAATTTTTATATTTTCTTTTTATTTTTATTTCGCTCATTGTTGTTTTATTTAAATAGAATTGGGGTCATCCTTTTGCTTTTTCTGCCCAAATTCTTCTCATTAAATTATTTTTGTGTGTGTACTTCTTCTCATCATTAACCAGCCACATCATCATCTTTAGCCTTCACGTCACAAAATCTCGGTTTAATTACCTCGCATTGGTTAAATATTGTCAATCAGACAAATTATAAGGAGACTAAATGCCCAAAATATTTACACGAATAAATGAGCCTTTATTGCCTGACTTTTTTCCTCAGATTAATGTTTGCCTAAATAAACTACTCCCAACATAATCCCAAAAATACACTCCCATCCCCTCGTAAAAAAATAGAGTATAAGTCATAAAAAAATTTCCGTTATAGCCACATACCAACTGATCGGTCAATCAAGTCGTCCCAAAAAAATAATTTTGTATTGTAAGGAATTATGGCCTTTACTTACGGCTAAATTGATAACGAGAGAAGAGAGAGGCAAGATCTGAGATCTCAGAATCTTCATTAGATTCAGTTTCCCTCAAATTCTGTCTTCCGATATAACTGTCCTGTTCGCTCCGATTAAGGAATTATGGCTTTTAGTTTGGGCTAAATTGATACCGAGAAAAGATAATTGTAAGATCTTGAAATGAGAATTGGAATGGGAATCCGAGATCGGAATGAGATCTCGGAATCTTCGTTCAATTCGGTTTCACTTAAATTCGGTCTTCCGATATTACTGTCCTATTCGCTCCGATTCCGTCATCTATAACACATCAGGCTATGCCAGCTTGATTTTTCATCAATTTCTTCCAAATTCTTTTGATTTCCTTCCTCTGACTGGACATTTTACTAACTGAACCTTTTGATCAAATATAAGGATAAACAACCCACACCTTATTATAATCCTGCTTTCCGTTCATTTCTCATAAAATACATTCAATAAATATATCCTTTCACAGCCAATCCCCCCATATTTTTAAACCCATCATTACTCTAATAATTCAAAAGAGGGTCAGTAAAAGTTGAAAAATTTTATTTTTAATGCGCGGAAAAGTTTTATTATTTTCCTTCTTTGTTTTAATTAAATTCTGAATTTTAAATAAATATATAACTTTAATAATTCAAAAGACTGTCATTAATTTTTTAGTTAAGATTTAGAGGTTTCTGTACGTTATGTGGCCCCTAATTCATTTCAGAAGGGAATTTTTAATTTAAATTTCAGCAGGAATTTTAATTAACATTTATATTCTTAACATAATCCTTTATGCCCTCAAAATATTTTTATTAAGTAAAATTATCCTTCTAGAAAAAAATATTTTTATAAGAAAATTTTCGGACTTTGGAGCATCATAACCGGAAATAACTCCGATTTAGCTCCTATATTCTGAATTAATTCTGATTTTAATATTTATTTTTTTATAAATTTCTGATACTTCAGAATTTTTATTTTTCTGATTTTTAAAAATTTTTTAAAGTTATTTTTTAAAGTACAATGAAAAATATTCACACGGGTCATAAAAGGCCTGGAAATAGAAAAATAAAATTATACATTTCATATTTTAATTTATTAATAAATATTTATGTAATAACTACATTATTTGTAAATATAAATGGAACAGAATCAGATGAAGTATGTTTGCTTATTTAATTCTGATTTATTTTTAATTAATTCTGATTTATTTTCAATTAATTCTGATTTGATAATTCTGATTTTTGTATTTTGTTTTTTCTGATTTTCTGAATTTTTATTTATTTATTCTGATTATAATTTAATTCTGAATATTAATTCTGATTTTATAGTTATTCTGATTTTAATAAGAATTCTGATTTAAATTAATTCTGATTTTATTAAGTTAATAAGTTTATTCAGATTTATTGTATTTCTATTTCTGCTTCTGAGAATAGAAAATTCTGAAAAATTAAAAATTCTGAAAGAATAAATTCTGAAATAATTTCTGAAAATAATAATTCTGAAATATTACCTCCTGAAAATAATAAATTCTGGAAAATTAATTCTGATTTGTTAATTCTGATTTTTGTATTATATCGTTTTTTCTGATTTTCTGAATTTTTATTTATTTATTCTGATTATAATTTATTTCTGAATATTAATTCTGTTTTTATAATTCTGATTTTAATAAGAATTCTGATTTAGTAAATTAATTCTGATTTTATTAAGTTAATGTTTATTCTGATTTATTGTATTTCTATTTCTGAGAATAATAAGTTTTAATTTCTGAAGGAATAAATTCTGAAATAATAAGTTCTGAAAATAATAATTCTGAAATAATAACCATTGAATATAGTAAATTCTGGAAAATTAATTTTGATATAATAATAATTCTGAAATAATAAATCCTAAGACGAAAATTCTGAAATAATAATTATTCTGAATAATTATTCTGATAATAATTCTGATTTATTGATAATTCTGCTTTTATTAAACCTCTATATTTATTTCTGTTTATTTATAAATTGGTGCGGTAGTTAAGTGGTTTATATTTGTGTTTTGCTTGTTTATTCGTTGTAAAATTGTTTGGACGATGATTTTAAAATTTAGCACTTACTTGGATTGAAAGATAATGATGCTAGTTATTCTGTATGAGTCCTAAAATATTTTTTTTGTTAATTTTTTAATAAAAAAATATTTTAGTCAAGTACTTCAGTGGATGATGAAGAACCTGTCTTTTCTCAGTCAGCACAGCATTTATTTAAAAACGAAAATTCTAATGAGGATGGTGAAAAGCATCCAAATCTGGAGGCTTCTAGCCCTTCCAAAAATCATAGGCAGCACCGGAAAAACGTAAAAAAATTTTTAGATTTATTAATTCATTTATTAATCCATCCTTCGTTAAAAAATTCAAAATTTAGCCTCCACCTTTTGTACTAGCCGATGTACAACTCTCATGCGCAGAAGGATGGGAACGCTTTGAGGGAAAGTGCTATAAACTCATATCTATAGAAAAGTCGTGGCCTCAAGCTCTAGCCTTCTGTTCCCGCTTTGGAGCCAAACTAGTCCGTCTTGAATCTTCTGAAGAAAATAAATTTTTGGCAAAATATCTGATGAGGCCACATTTAACATCCGGGTAGCTATTTTTACTCAAATTTCCCTCAAAATATTTTTTCAAGTCCAACAACGTCCTCTTCTGAATATTGGATCGGTCTTTTATATAGACCTTTAATGATGGATTCATCAATTTCATCCTCTTCATCTCTCTCAAAATCTTTAATGGATGGGTCTTTTCTATGGAGCGATGGTTCCCAAACTTCTCGATATGTTGGATTTTGGTCCTATGGACAGCCTGATCCTGCAAATGGAAGTTGCACAAAAGTAAGAGTAGAATTGATATAGAAGTGGGGTTATAAATGAATACTGTTGATACATAAGCTTATAAACTGCCACTTGATATAAAGTCAACTACAAGCTATTCATGAGTTATGAGTTGTGAATGAATCATTAAAATAGGGTGATCTAAAATACCCCTATTTTATTTCCATTAGAAAACCCTCATAATTTAGAAGATCCCTCACATTGCCCTCTGAGATATGCGTGTTATACCCTAAGATTTCCCTCATCTATTGCAATAACCCTCGTGTTATTCCTTTGAGATAAACCTCATGCTTTGAGACATCTCTCATGCTACCCACATCCGTTGTTCTAAAGTCCTTCCAATCCCCGATTTTTAGATACTTGTAGACGGCCTTCAAGTAGAAGGACCGACATGGCAATTAGATGTCTGTAACCAGCTTAGGCCTTTTATCTGCGAACAGAATGCTTGTATTAAAGGTATCTTAGTGAAAATAACTGAAAAATTAAAAAAATAATTTGAGGATCATTTTTCTGCCAAAACGGTGTATGCCTCCCTGAACGCGCCCATTGCAATGGGATTGATGAATGTGGAGATTCTAGTGATGAGTTTAATTGTCCATGTAAACATTTTAAGAAAAATGTTTTAATTTTGCCAAAATTATTTTTTAAGCAGCTCATAGTGAAATGTCTTGTCAACGATACGAGAAAGGGGAATCTGGGCGTATTGAAACACCCAACTTTCCTGCAAGTTATAGACAAGGTGCCAACTGCCGTTGGGTTATAGAAGGACCGCTTAATTCTAAAATTCAGGTGATTCCGCGAAGTATACCAGATTCTTCGTTTAATAACACCATTTTCAGCTAAATTTTGACTCCTTCGAGACTGAAGAACGCCATGATTTAGTTACTGTATTAGACGGAGGCCCTTCAGAAAATTCTACTTTTGCTCTATCAACAATTTCGGGTACCCCTCGAAATACAGAAAAGCTTTCCTTTGAGTCAAGCACAAATAGAATTATAGTCCAATTCAGAGCGGATCAAAGCATTCAAGCTCGAGGCTTTCAAGCTAGTTGGAGAACTGGTAAATTATTGTGGGTTATTATTATAAGTTCCAAATTATTATAAGTTCCAATATCGTGTGGAAATCAGCAACTCAAAGCCTCTTCAATCGGCCAACAATTTCACAGCCCAGAATGGCCTAGAAATTATCCTAAAGGCTTAGAATGTGTTTGGCGTATAGAAGCACCTTCTGGCCAATTGATCTCTTTATTTATTGATGAATTCAACACAGAAGCTGAAACTGATTTTTTAACAATTTATGATGGACCGAGTCCGTCTGAGCCCATATTGGCTAAATTCAGTGGGCATATGGTAGTGTTATTTAAAATTTCTTGAATTTATCATCAAAACCCTCTGAATTTATTTACAAAATTATTTTTAAGAAGGAACCTCAACTCATAATTTCAACTCAATCTCAAGTTCATATCTACTTCTTCAGTAGCGAGACAGTTTCTCAAAAAGGCTTTACTATAACATACAAAAAAGGTAGAATATCTTGGTTTTCAACTGGTTATTCTTGATTATCAACCACTATTATTATCTATCCTCTTTTGTGAGGTCTGGACCTTGGAGACTTGCCCAGTGCTTTAAAGCTTGTACCAAAATTTTTACTTGGTCTTGTTACTATATTATGTATAAATTCGAGATATTAAGCCAAAAATATGAATGGTATGATGACGAGCCGAGCCAAACCGAAATTATAAATTATTGGACAGAACCTTTAATTCTGTACAATCCTCCCCTTTCTCTCCCTCCAAATAAATAAATAAATCTTCAAGGCTGTGACAACTCTATCCGTCGATCACACGGAGTCTTAACATCACCGGGAAATGCACATTTGCCTTATGCTCCTTCACAAATTTGTCGTTGGAGTATAGAATTACCCTCTCAACAAATCGAAAACTTTGAAGCTGCAGCAGAAATTCCATCATTGTCTTTAGTTCTGAATTCATGGGATGTTGCCGATTTAGGCGATAAGTTACAAATTTATGAGGGAGGTGAGGATGGAAGTAGTAATGGGAGACCGTTACATGAAAGTGATGGTTTTACTGTTAATAATGCTCCACCAAGAACGGTAGATTTATTTGCCTATTTTTCTGAATTGGCATTTTTCTCACATAAGATACAAGCTTATAGCTAAAAAATTTGACGTGTACCTTAAATCTTGGTGTATCGCTAAAGCATCTCCCCCTTCCCCTATCAAATTTCAAAAAGGTTTCTTAAATTGGTGTGTATCTAGGGGTTTTATAATGAGGGGTACCTTACATTATTGGGCATCGCCTAGGCTTCCTACCTCTATTAGCCTAACAAATTCAAAAAAAACATCTAAACTGACGTATATCTAGTGTTTATCTTATAGTCTTTAACCTTATCCTTAGATTTATGCAAAACAAGGACGTGTTGAACTCGTTTGGCGTTCTAATGTCTTAAACAGTGGAACTGGATGGAATATTTCTTTTTCGACAAGTGAGTGAAAAATAAAGGAAATATTCTCCAAGATTTTTTTAAATTCAGGTTGCCCTCCTCTCTCATTACCCTCCCGTCGTGTCCTCCTCTCCACTAAAAACACAGCCTACGGTACCCACGTTACTATAAGTTGTGAAAGAGGCTTTGAATTCTCAACGGGGCTCGGCAGGCATTTTGAAACAGAGTGTGAATTGGGAGGTCTGTGGAGTAATTATGCACCTGTTCCAGACTGTCAACGTAAAATTTCATTAAAATTTTTGAAGTAACTTTCAAAAACTCCTTTAGCCGTGTATTGCTCAGCCATTCCTCAAATAGCTAACGGCTTCGCCGTCTCAGCTACCAACGTCTCATATGCTGGAATGGCTCGCTATCAGTGTTATGAAGGGTTTAGCTTTGCTTCTGGGAAGCAACATGAAGAAATATTTTGTACAGACGAAGGCCGTTGGACACAATCGCCCAAATGCAAAAGTCCTTGGAACAATTATTTCCCCTATTTCATATTTTACGTTTCAGCTGATGCCTGTCCCGCACTCCCATCTTTTGTCTCCGGTGAACGAATTCTTCAATTTGGGGATGGCAGGGTTCGGCAGCGTTTTCCAATTTCACTGTGCGAAGGGTTACTTTATTGAAGGTCCTTTAAGCATTGTTTGTCGTCCAAATGGAGAATGGTCCTCTCCACAGCCTCTTTGTAAAAGTAAGCCTTTCTGAGGTTAAAATGTTGGATAATATTAAAAATTAATAGAATTGACTTGTACTGATATCCCAATTGTCGAAAATGGTGAACTACATTTATTGCCTAGCAATAATATGGTTATGGATGAAAAATCCAATAAGGATAAAAAACTAAAGGACCAAACCAAGAACTTCGGATCTAAACAAAAAATGGAATTTAAAACTAAAAGAAGTATGGTAATTCGAGAGTTGCAATTTGGAGACTCTCTACGAGTTGAGTGCCATTCTGGTTTTCAGTCTGTAGGAGCGGAAACACTTAAATGCTTGGCTAATCAAACACTTAGTGGAGTATGTTTTATTTTATGTAGAATAATGTAGATCTCTTAAAAACACTAACGGATTGTAACCCAAACTCGTTTAACAAATCCACACCCTGGTATTTTTATGTTACCTAAATTTGGCACCTGAATATTGTAGTCAAAAAAAGTTTCGAAATAAGAGACAAACTTGCCAAAATATCCCCTTTAATATATCAAATTTTAAAAGATTCCGAAATGCCGCGATATCGATGAATGTGAGTTACAATCTGCAGGAAATTGTGCCACAAAATCAACAACTTGTGTGAATATGCCAGGCGGTTTTCATTGTCAATGTCAACCTGGATATAAACCAAAACTGGGTAGAATAAAAAATATTTCTTAAAGAGCTCAGGCAAGACGAGATCCTGTTCATTTTTCGGGGTATCCGATTTTTCGGGGTATCCAGCTCGCAATTGATTCTCAAGTCAACTTTAGTCTCTTAAAATGTTAACCTTATTTCTAAGACTGTTCTGGACCCCTGTCTATTATACCAACAAAAATACAAACATCACATGGTGTGCCAATACCGGTTCAACAGCTCAATTCAAAAAATGGATGGTGTGCAGATACAACAATAACAAATGCTCAAATGCTTGAAAAACGGATAATGCCCTTTAATGAGTCAATTAGTAGCAGCTCTCCATCAACAATTTTAACTTTGATATTCACTTTCCCCGTGCCAAAGGTACAAAATTTGAAAGAGAAAATTTTTATCTTCCCCAAAAATCAGATAATCGAGAAGCTACATCTTGAAAAAGTGGTTGTTCCCAGCGCTTCTGCCCCTTCTGGAATTGCTGGGGCAATCGCAGCAACACCCGAAGCATGGCCTCAACGCTTTACGCTTTCTTATTCAATTGAGGAAGGAATGCCGTTTGAAGTGTATAATGGAGGACTTGCTGAATTGGGAGGGAATAACAACATTACTTCAACTAATGATAATAAAAAGTCAAATGAAAGAAAATTAAATACTCCGAATACTAAAGAGATAAGAACAAGAGCTTTAGGTATAATATAACTTAGGGTTTATGAATTAAGTTTGTGAACTTTATTTTCCGGAAACAATGAAAAAAAACAATCACAGAGCTGGGAAAGCTAGTTACAAGCATGTACTAGTTCCGTACTTTAGTTCCAAACTTGTTCCAGATAATCGCTAGTTCCGTAGTTCTAGTTCTGGAACTGGAACTACTTAGTTCCGGAACTGTAACTTTGACATCACTGAAGGTGAGTTCAAGAATGATGCTTTTTACATTGGCCAGAGCTCTACCTAAATAGAGAGGTGGGTCGGGACAGTCAGAGGTGTCTGAAATCGAAAGAGCCAGCAATCGGAACTGGCTCAAAAGTCGGAACTCGGAAATTGGAAGGAAAAAACGTCGGAACTCGGAATTCCGACCCACCTCTGTTTAATAGGATGAAAGAAACGCTTAAATAAATTTCCAATATCGGTACATATTCAGATGCATTGTGTAAATAACGCCAGCTCTAATGATAGACTTGGATTTTTCAGAAATAAATTATTATGAACATAAGCTCATACAACATTCATGTTATAATTTAGGAGCAATAGGCTCGGAGATTCTTGTATTGGCCAAACCAATCGAGGCAAGAACATTGCAGATCGAATTCCTTGAATTTCATGGAGGTGTTCCTTGCATGAAGTTTGAGTTTTTGGGTTGTCAACGGACGTCTTGTGAAGATATAAATGAATGCGAGGATGGTCGTAATGGAGGGTGTGAACAGCATTGTCACAATACACAAGGTGGACATCGTTGCAGGTAAGGAGAAGGGATCAGTGAAGGGAAGGGAGGCCCTTTTGTAGGGAAGGTAGGCCTTCGAAAGACGGGATTAGACCTCTTTGTAAGGGAGGGATTAGACTTCCTTATAAGAAGGAAATAGACCTTATTAGACTCCCTTTAAACTTCGTGTCCCGGTTCAGATGGAAATTGGGCATTTTTTTGATGGAAGGAGGGCATCACTGCCTTAAAAATAAATAAATCCTTATAGCTGTGAAGAGGGCTTTGATTTGTTCGTTGAACCAGGCCAAAGTGGTGTTCGTTTACGTGAAGGTGAAACAGGCTATGGAGAATTCGATTCATTGCGTTTTAACCATTCCTGTATTCCTCGACATTGTGCTCCTTTAACGACACCAGAAAATGGCCAATTAATAGCTCAAAACTTGTACAAAACTTTTAAAAATGAAGTGAATAATACAAACAACAAGAACGAGTTCTTTTCTTCCTCCTTTGCTTTTCCTTCAATTGTGGAATTCCGTTGTACTTTTGGTTATCAAATGCGTGGGCCTTCCCATTTGAAATGTTTGGCAGATGGGACATGGAATGGAACAGTGCCATCATGCATACGTAATTAATTTTAGTTGAATTCCTTGCTTCTCTCATACAGTATCCTTCGCATTTTATAATCCTTTAGAATGGGAAATGCTGAGAGGTTAGGGAGCTAGTTTTGCCTCTATAACGGCAGCTATTTTGGCTCTTACAACGGAAGGAAATGGGCCCATATAACAGAAGCTTGGGGCCTTTGAAACGTGTGCTGTGTGTCATCCCATGACCCTGTATCATCCCATGACCCTGTAAATTTTACTTAAAAAACAAAAAATCTTACAGCCGCCACCTGTTCCGGTGTAAAGAATAGCACAGCTGTTGGACTCTTTGTACAGCCTGAAACCGTCTCCATTCCTTTTGGCCAGAATTTAAGTTTTGTCTGTTCCCAAACTAATAGACCACCAAAGCATTCTGCACTTGGAGAAATCCGTCAATGTATTTATGATCCTCGAACTGATGGATTAGAATATTGGTTAAGTGGACCTGAAGTTGATTGCCCGCTTGTTGATTGTGGACCTCCTCCTGCCCTATCTGGAGCTTATTATGAAGGCGATGAGGGACATCATGGAGGAAACTTTAAAGTGGGAAGTGTCTATTTATTCCAGGTGATTTTGTAAATTATGGTTTTGTTTAAATAATTATCGAATCTTATTATTTGATACGTCCTTGGGGTCGAAAAACAGGAGCACCCCTATGATATTGGATCAAAATAGGGAGTATTATCGCACTGTTTAAGGCATATCTTAAATTATATAGTATCTCGGGATTATCTAATAGTCGGATCCATTTTTATTATTTTATTATTAGTGCCGTGCTCCATATTCTCTTGTTGGAAAATCTTCATATGATGACCGTATGGTTCGTTGTAATGTAGACGGAACATGGGATTTGGGTGATTTACGTTGTGAAGGTGTGTTGGGTTTTTGTAACTTTACACGTAAAATATATTTTCAGGCCCTGTCTGTGTTGACCCTGGCCATCCAGATGACGGGCAAACATTTTTGGACTCCGTTGAGGAAGGTGCTGTTGCAAGTTTCAGTTGTAACAGACCAGGATTTAAGCCATTCCCTGCAGAAACGATAAGTTGCAGTCTTGGGACGCCTTGTGTATTGAGTGAGGATGTTGGAATTTCCTCTGGATTTATACCTGATGGAGCTTTTTCTGATAATTCTGGTCTTAGCTTTATGATTTTTCCCAGAAAATACTTTTTTCCAATTTAAGACAAGGTAATTTGGGGATATGAACCTCACAAATCCCGCATGTCCTCTTCTGGTTGGTGTGGCTCTAAAGATGCTTTTATTTTCCTTTCTGTTGATCTACAACGGATTTATACACTTACAACATTGAGATTAACTGGTGTTGCTGGTAATGGGCATTTATCTGGTCACGTTACAAAAATGCAGCTTTTTTATAAAGTTCAGTTCAGTCAGAACTATGATAACTATCCTATGGTAATGATTAATTTAGAGATGATACCTGATAAAAAATTTTAAGGAATTCTCTACACCCTCAGGAAATCACAGAAAAATTTACCAATTTACCCTTAATCCGCCTCTACGAGCCCGATACATTCTCTTGGGTATTACTGAATATGAGAAGAACCCTTGTCTTCGTTTTGATATGCATGGATGCTTAGCTCCTCTGTCTACCACACACGAAGTTCCAGCACATTTACAAGTGATCCTCTCTCTTTCTCTCCCTGTCTAATATCCCTCTCTCTCATTTCAGGTTGGCTGGAATGCAAGTATCCCTCAATGCTTAGATGCTGAACCTCCAACATTCAAAAATTGCCCTCAATCACCAATAATTGTGCAAACTGATGAGAACGGGCAATTGTTCCCTGCCAACTATGTCATACCTGAAGCCACAGATAATTCAGGAAGAATTACTTATATGTGCTTATTTTGGAAATTTTAAAGTATTTTTTATTGTGATTTCAGGCTAACAAAGCCAGAAGACTTCCACCCACCCTATCCAGTCAGTCAAGACACTGATATAATCTATCAAGCTTTTGATGATGCTGGGAATATGGCTGAATGTGCTGTTCGGCTAAGAATACCTGGTTGGACTGGAGTTGAATTTTTACTTTCGAAAGTCCTCATTTTAGACACAGTTCCTCCAATCTTGAAGTGTCCTGATTCTTATGCTATCTGGGCACAGGAAAATCAAACTGAACTTCATATGCATTTCAATGAATCCTCAGTACGGCTAGTTGTGCAAGACCAATCGCCGATTACCCAAATTTCCTATGATCCTCCCGAAGCTCGGATTAAACTTGATTCACACGTTACTGTAAGATACTGTATCTTTACTGAATCTGAAAAAAATGTTCAAAGGTTGAAGCCTCAGTTTTGGATGCCCATTCCAACCGAAACAAATGTAAATTCCAAGTAGCCCTGTTACCCGAACCTTGTAGTCCTTGGTCTTTACGAATTGATGAAGCTACCGTTCAAAAACAATGTCAACGCCATGCTAGTGGCACAGTTTGCCAAGTCCAATGTCGCAAAGGATATCGCTTTCTAGAATCCTTCCCTCAACAAAAGAGTGAAGTTAAAAAACAACAAAATAGTACTAATACACTTCCACAACGCTATAGTTGCTCGATGGAACAACAATCGGGGAAATGGTTGCCCTCGTATGTGTTATTTTTTAGGAACTTTTTTCAATATTTTTTCAAAACCTTCCAGACCAACTCCACCTGCATGTGTACCAATGGCCATGGAACCTGCTCGCTATGAGATGAGAGTTCACATGAATTACAGCCTCACTTCCCCTTTACCGAGTGATTGTGCTAAGGTGAGAGGAAAGGCCTAAGATAATAGTAATGTCTCTCGGAGCCCAACTGGCTCTTGTAACCCATATTTCAAGTGACAACCTTCCGGGACCCTAAAGCGAGGAGGTTCCGGAATCCCTGTTCCAATACCTTCATATCCCTGTTCCAATACCCACTAAACTTCTTTTGGAAAAAAATTTCAGAGTTATGAACTGTTAGTTGGATCTTTGTTCGACAGCATTGACCAAGTATTGAGCCAACGTTGTTCAAGTACTGTACAAATCTATGTTCGCTTCTTGGATGCCAAATTCTCGCAAATGGGCGAGAAGACTGTTAGTCTTTTTGAAAAAACTTTTTATAAATCATCTGCTTCAGATGGGTGCAAATTTTACCGTGCAAATTTTGCCTACTGTTTTGCAACAAGTATTTTATGAGCTTTGCTCGCTTACTCTACGCACAATTTTTGACCTTCGAATACCTGGAGCTACAATACCTATTAGGTCTTTGCTGACACTTTCGGGTGATTCTGTTCCTGCTATCTTGGTAGTAACTTAAATATTTCTTAAAAATTGTCTTAAAGAATCTCGGTTGCCCTCCTATAAATGCTTCAAGTATCTCAGTCTCTCAAGGCTTCAGTTGCTCACAAGGGGAACTACTCAAATTGCAAACTCCAAATGTTGGGTCAGACGATTTTCTATCTGCAGCGCCTGGACTTCCTGAATGCTGTATGAGATATTATTTGAAAAGAATTTTTATGACACTTATATCAGTGTATTCCTTATCACGGTACCCCCATAACAAGAACATAAAAAATAGAAACCGGTCAGAAGCTTGGATCTAGTTGCACCCCAACCCCGTTCCCAAAAGTTTTTCAGATCTTCCCCGACCCTGAAAAGATTTCCAACCCTGTATAGAGAATCCCGAACCCCGCCCGAAACAATCCAAAAACCTCATACTCCGACACACCCGCCTCTGAGCGTTCGTGGTGTAACCCCACTTGGAACCATAAAACCTCTTGATTTTATAATAGGAAAACACTGACTTCTTTAAGTAACAATTGAAAAAATTCCCTTTCCCAAAACAGTTCCCTGCCCAAAAGGAACAGCTTTTGTCAACAACAGTTGTATTCAATGCCCAATGGGCTCTTTCCAGGATCAAGAAGGGCAGATTCGTTGCAAACCCTGCATAGAGAATACTTATACTTTACAATCTGGAGCTCAATCTAATGAATCGTGTTTGGGTTAGTTTGGAGTAGAGATCGGACTGAGTTGGATTATCGTTCAAAAGCTCATTTATTGTGTGATTTTTCGACTAGTCCGGTCTCTAATTGGAACGACCGAATTTTAAAATAAAACCTATCCTCTACCTTTCTAGACGTTTGCGGCAACGGAATGTTTTCAGCTACAGGAATGATTCCTTGTCAGCTATGTCCTAGACATACATTTGCTGGGCCTCCTCCAATCGGAGGCTATAAGGAATGCGAGCCGTGTCCAGAAGTGAATATTTTTTAGAATTTTTAGCTAAAATTTTTGTTAGGGAACATATACAGCTCGCCTGGGCTCTGTTGGCCCTAGCCACTGCAAGCAACCTTGTGCTCCAGGGCATTTTTCTGTAACAGGCTTGGAGCCCTGTTCTCCATGCCCAATTAATTTCTATCAGGTAATTGGAGCAATTTGTGAAGATTTTTAATTAACCGATTCAGCCAAATATTGGCCAGCAGCGCTGTCTTCAATGCTCAAACGATTCTTTCACTGCAGAGACTGGTAGATCCGCCGATGAGCATTGCAAAAAGCTTGATTGCCAAACACTTAAATGTCAGAACCGGGGGCAATGCGTTGTGGCTAATCATAAGGTATTTCTATTAGAAAATGAGATTGTTATATCTAAAAGTTATTTAATCACACCCCGCTGCAATGAAAATATTTTTGGAGGAAGTGAGAGAAAAAAGATTTCATTTCCCCCAATACCTCTGTTGGAGAGATTTCCCTAAATCTTACTGTATGACCCTTAGTTCCATAGCCTTCTTACTTGTTCACCTTAAGGAGTCGACACTTTATTCCAGGCGAAGATTCTTAGGCGAATAAAAAATATTTTTTTAATCATTTTTAGGAAGTCTGTGAATGCCGCCCAGGCTTTATGGGCTCACACTGTGAACAACAAATACCCCTCTGTGACTCTCACCCCTGCCTTAATGGAGGCACTTGTGAACTGCACAACGGAGCTTTTCGCTGTATATGTCCCCAAAATTATACAGGATCGAGATGTCAATTTGGACCGGATGAATGCATCTCTTCCGTTCATTGTCCAAATGGGGGTGTATGTCAAGATTTGCCTGGGCTTGGAACAACAAAGTGTATTTGCAGGTGTGATATTTGTCACCCTCCTCAAATTATTTTTTATTCCTTAAAGGACCGGTTTCACCGGGCCAGACTGTTCTCAAATCTCTGATCCTTGTCAAAGCGATCAACCATGCAAAAATGGTGCTCAATGTATTCCCTTACAACTTGGTCGTTATAAATGTAAATGTTTGCCTGGTTGGGAGGGTACCAATTGTGATAAGAATATTGGTCAGTTTGTGATATTTTTGGCAAGAAACCCCCTTAATTTTAGATGACTGCACAGAAAATCCTTGTGCATTAGGCGCTAAATGTCACGATCTTATTAATGACTTTGAATGTGAATGTCCCCATGGATTTAGTGGAAAACGTTGTCAAATAAAAGATAATTTATGTGATCCAAGTCCATGTCTCAATGGAGGTCAGTGTGTGGATACACTGTTTGATAGGCATTGTATATGCAAACGTGGGTGGAATGGAACATTTTGTGAGCAGGAAGTTAACGAGTGCTCTCAGAAGCCGTGTCAAAATGGAGCTACTTGTCGCGATCAAGTAAATAAAAATCAGAATTTTCGTTCTGGTTTTTAGAAGATCAGAATATTCAGAAAATCAGAAGATTTTTTTTGATTTTCAGAAGATCAGAATATTCAGAAAATCAGAATTTTCGTTCTGATTTTTAGAAATCAGAATAAATATTTCTTTATGTCCTTTTCATAGGAGGACGATTACTCGTGTGAATGTGCACCAGGTTTTCACGGCTATCAATGCCAATATATGATTGATCATTGTGCCGTCAAGCCTTGTCGAAATAATGGAACATGTATAAATCGAGGTCCAATTTATGAGTGTCAATGCCCTCTTGGTTACGAGGGTGATCATTGTGAACACAATGTCGATGAATGCGAGATGATGACACCTTGTGATGCTGTTGGGACTGGAAGGTGTGAAGACTTGGTTAACGGGTTCAAGTGCCATTGTCACCCCGGCTATGAAGGCACTTTCTGCGAACAACACGTTAGTCAGTGTGAAGACGAACCTTGCATGAATAATGGTACTTGTACTGATTTGGGTGCCGGTTTTCAATGTGAATGTCAATTGGGATGGAAAGGTCTTTAGCTGAATAAGCTCGATAAATCTTGAAATGTTAAGGTGATCGTTGCCAGGAAATGGAAACACAATGTGATCGAAAGCCATGCATGAATGAAGGCAAATGTGTCCCACTAGTCGACGATTATTTCTGTGTTTGCCCGGTTAGATTTTAGTTCCCACTCATAATTTACTTCAACTTAAGGAAGGTGTTAGTGGAAAGAATTGCGAATTGGCCCCGAACCGCTGCCTTGGAGAACCTTGCCATAACGGCGGTGTTTGTGGCGATTTTGGTTCTCGATCTGACTGTCAATGTCCAAAGGGCTATAGCGGCAATGGATGCCAATTTCGATTTGATGGTTGCCACGAGGGTTTGTGCAAAAATGGTGGAACTTGTGTTAACAATAATGACTTGACTAGGCATCAAATGTCCAAAATTGAAAATTCGGTAGCTGTTGAACAGAACAGTGAAGCGATTGGATTTAAATGTGTTTGTGCTCCTGGTACCCTTAAAAATCTAAAAAAAAAGATTTTTGACGAATTTATTTTTAAGGATTCTCTGGAAATGAATGCGAGATAGATATTAATGAATGTCAACCTTCTCCATGTCCTTTAGCCTCTCATTGTGTTGATCTAGTCAACGGGTATTACTGTAAATGCCCTTTCAATAGTGGGTTTTATCGGATATTTACGGATTTTTGGATAGTTTAATGGTAGTGTATGCTTCCCTAGAAATTTATCCTTAGACTGCCTTATCCCTCCAGATTTTCTGGCTATCGAAAGATTTCTTTGGTGTGTGTACTTATCCCCACCCTTGTGCCATTCCATTATCTCACAAGCTTCAAGGACGCTTACACAGTCGCGGAACAAAAAATAATTTTTTCTTAAGTGACTGGTGCCAACTGCGAGAAGAGAATTGATCCAGACTATGATTTACGCTTTCTTGAATCTTCAAGTCAGCCTGCTTCAGCCAGTTTAGGAATTCCTTTCAATTTTGTCTCGAGTGCATTAACTTTGAATATTTGGGTTAAATTTGAAAAGAACCAACAAACTGATGTTTTAAAAGAACAGAGAAAATCACCCCCAATATTTTTTACTCTTTATAGCAGCAGGTGAAATTTTTCGAGGAATTTTATATTCAAAAATTATTTTTAATTTATATAGTTCTGCAAATCAACCAACAAATTTAACTGAACTTTTAACTATATCTTCTGAAGCAATAAATATTAGACTGTTTCCTGAGCTTGATAAACAGCCTTTAGTAATTTTTACTATTATCAGAATGTGAATATTTGGACTAATTATAGTTAGAGTTGTCGTTATTTTGGAAAATCTTCGGATATTCGAAGTAGAACAATAGAACTGAACCGAAAAATCCTCGGTTTCCGACTGACACCTAATAAAACATTTGATAATTATGAGTGATTATCAATTCCAAACTAACCCTACAATAATCACCCTTTAATTTTATTGACCTATGATTGATCACACATCATAGTCCTAAAGGTCTAATCACTTAGACTAGTCTTAATGATGCCCATAGTTGAAATTTGTCATGATTTGTGACCCAGATTACAATGTATCACTAAAGGATCATATCCATTTCATTCACATCCAATCACAATAGTTCTTATCAAAAAATATATTAAGGTTCTGCATTTCCCTATCCATCAACGCCCAGACACTCAACTTGCTTGGAACAATATAATATTTATGTGGGATTCCCAACAACAAGGGAGCTATTCCCTTTTATGGAATGCTGTTCGTCTATATTCTGATAAAGGATATGCTCCAAATCGTCGTTTAGACATTAATGCTTGGATAAACTTGGGCGATCCCAAGGGTATTGAACAGCAACAAAATCAGCTTTTAATGGCTAATAAAATAATTTCTACTGAATTACCTAAAGGAAATGAGAAAATGATTGGTACTAAATTTGTTGGGTCTATTACTAGGGTTAATATGGTAATTATTTTTGACTTTAGAATTTCTATAAAATTAGAAGGATCATAGGACATATCAGGGATCACAGGATTAGTTTGCCCTTATAAGTAGAGTGCTAGAGAGAATCTAGAAACACTGAACTCGAGTATCATCTTAACAGAAAATCAAACAGAAAATCCAACTGATCTCGACTTTGGTCTCTAGAAAGGCATTTGCAGAATTCATAAAATGAGTGTCTTCAAGACTAGTTTTATTTTCAGTGGAATAGAATGCTAGATTTTGAAACAGAAATTCCTTCAATTGTACAACGTTGTCAAGGCTCTCCCGATCTCTACGAAGGACTATCATTACGATTCGCAAATTATGATAGACTTCAAGGAAAGGTGGAAAGAGTTGCTAAAAGGTACATACATATTTATAGAGCTCACTATGAGTGAGCTCTATCGAGAGCTCACTCAGAGATTTTGTTCATTAAAAAGTCTAAATAAATTTTTCAAGTACCTGTGGCCGAATTGACTTGTTATCTCCAACATGCCATTCATCTGGGGATGAAAATAAAAATTTAAAAGACTATCAATGCCGTTCCAAAATTCCATCTAATATGAATGATTACTTTAAAGAAGAGTTGGTAGAAATTGAAGGATGTCCTATGGAACCCATAAACGTCCAAACACCTTTGAAGGAATTAAATATTTCTTGGAAAGAGCCGAAATTTTATGAGACTAGTTCAAGGGTTCAAATAGCCAAAATTGAACAGAATTTAAAGCCTGGACAAGTAAATCCCTTCTCTCAATCATTAATAATGCTGTATTATTATGTAGGTATTTACTTGGGGACAATATTCAGCCATCTATTTGGCTCTAGACAATCAATCCTCTCCTTTAGCTACATGTCAATTTAAGGTATTTATCTAAAAATATTCAGTCGCTCAGTCGTACATCAGTATAAGATACACACAATACAAGATACCCCTCGATCTTTCGGACGGGGGTTTCGGAATACAAGATACCCCTCGATCTTCGGATGTTTGACAGATCCGAAGATCGAGGGGTATCGAGGGGTATCTGCTCCGAGTAGGGTTGGGATTTTTGAGTTGTGCCGACGTTCGAGTCATTTTTTCGGGCATCATTTTTATCGGGGCGGCCCGACCGAGTCTTTTTCTGGCCAAAATTCGATGCCCGACTGATCTGTCGGACCGGGCCGGATCGGCCCCCAACCCTAGTTCCAAGATTGTCTTAATTTAACATACACCTCAGATAATGGAAGTTCTTCAGCCCCAAGGCGTGTATCTTATAATAAGATTCGACGTAAATAAATAGAGTTTTTCTAAATTAAACTTACCAGATAAACGTGGTCAGAGAATTTTGCCCAGATCCAGAAATACCGGTTAATGGAGTTCAACGATGTGAACAATGGGGACCTGGATTGCGCTATAAAGCTTGTTCTGTTCATTGTCAAGTAATTCTTCTTAGAAATCTATCAAATAAAATTGTCTTTATAAGAATGGTTACGGCTTTAGCCGCCATCCCGCAGCTTTCTACTCTTGTGGTGAGGACGGTAAATGGCGCCCCAACGAGGGGAAACAACGCCCTTTCCGTTATCCTCAATGCACTCGGCAATCACCTGCCGAACACTTGGCTAGAATTCAACTAAGCTACCCACAACTAGCATTGTGCAACCCTGCCGGAAAATCTACAGTAACCGAAAAAATAATTGAGAGAATTAATCAAATTAATAATAAATGGCATATTTGTGCTAATAATGAAGAAAGGTTGGAAATTCTAATTTTTTGGAAAATTAAATTCTGATTTAAAAAAAACACTTTTTCAAGCTCTGACTGTTCTGGTGTTCAAGTTCAAATTAATTGTCAAGACATTTTTGCCTTGTCACGTCTGAAAAGGCAAACTACTTTACAACAATTTGATGTTATTATTGATGGTTATTAATTGGAAAAAAAATTAATTTTAATTATTTTTCAAAATATTTAAGTCCCAATCAGAGAAATTCAAAGGATGGACCCTGTAGAAATTATCCGCGACGAGGCAATGGCTCACGGACTATTTTCTCTTGAACAAGTTATACCTAATGGAAGACCTGATATTGGGTAATGATTATAATCATAGAATAAAAATCAGATCATTATTCCTTAAATATTAAATTACAATAATTGAGTATTAAATACAATTCAGAATTTAAAAAATCAGAATTTTCTAAATTAAATAATTCAGAACAATAATCACAGTATTTAAATATCAGAATATTAAGTTAATAACCGGAATTTTCCAGCTTTAAGTTTACAAATCAGAATTAACGGGGAAACCAGAATTTAAAAAACCAGAATATTAATTAATAACAAGAATTTTCCAGAATTTAATAAAAATCAGAATTAACAGGGGAAACCAGAATTTTATAAACCAGAATATTAATTTAATAACCAGAATTTTAAAATTAATATTATAATTCAGAATTTCTGCATTAGAATTTTAATATCCATTTAAAAGAATAAATTCAGAATTTAAAAAACTCAGAATTTAAAATCAGAATAATTAAACTAATATTAAACAATTCCAGCGCATTTCGAGTAGAAAATGCATTCCGCTGCCCCGTTGGTTACTTGCTAAATAATGGAAGTTGTGTTCCTTGCGCACCTGGAACATTTTACTTTGTTCCGACAAGCGAATGCAAGCTTTGTCCTATCGGGCAGTACCAACCAGAAGAGGCACAGAATCAATGTATAGAATGTCCCACCGACTCTCCAATGACTGTTGGAATGGGGTCGATTAAACAAAATGAATGTAGAAGTAAGGGGAAATTTTTAGGAATTTTTTGGAATTTTGGAACTTAATTTAAAAAATTTTTCAACAGTTCGCTGCCTTCCTGGGCATCATTTAAATATTTCTACTGGACAATGCGAGCCTTGTAGCTATGGATTTTTCCAGCCCGATTCCGGAGCGTTCGATTGTATTCCTTGTGGAATAGGTAAAACGACATTGGAGAGAACGGCTATTAACGAGGATCAATGTCGCGATGAGTGTCCCGATGGGCAACAATTAACAGCTAGTGGAAGTTGCCAACCTTGCCCCCAGGGAATGTACAGAACCCGGGGTCAGGACAAGCAGTGTGTGGAATGTCCAAGTGGAACAACTACTGAAGGGGTTGGGGCTGGAAATAAAGCGGTGAGTGAGCGAAGAGTTGAATTTAAAATTTCAAAATTCTTCACTCATAGTTATGTAATACACCAAAATGTGGGGCAGGTCAATTCCTTCTTGCTGACATTAAACGCTGTCAATTCTGTCCAAGAGGTACTTTCCAAGACCAACAATTACAATTTGAATGTAAAAAGTGCCCTCCTTCATTTAATGTATTTTTTGAAATTTTTTCAATTTCGGAAATTTTTCAATTTTAATAGACAGCAGAGGAAGGGGCAACTAGAGAGTCTCAATGTTACTCAACTGATCAATGTGCACTTGGACAAGATAATTGTTCTTGGAATGCGCAATGTATTGACTTGCCTGATGATAACGTAAGGAGATTTTTCATAAGTACAACGATGCCCTAGACCACCAAGGGAGCCTATGAGATACGGTGCCTATATGCTTGGAAGAAGATGCTACAGGCTCTTATGACTCTCCCAGAGTGACTCTCTAAGACTCTCCCAGAGTGACTCTCTAAGACTCTCCCAGAGTGACTCTTTAAGACTCTCCCAGAGTGACTCTCTAAGGCTCTCCCAGAGTGACTCTCTAAGACTCTCCCAGAGTGACTCTCTAAGACTCCCAGAGTGACTCTCTAAGACTCTCCCAGAGTGACTCTCTAAGACTCTCCCAGAGTGACTCTCTAAAACTCTCCCAGAGTGACTCTCTAAGACTCTCCCAGAGGAGGGGTCTCTAGGACTTGATTATAGTCTCTAGGACTTGACCTAGCCGCTAGAATAACTAAGCAACCTATCTTTAGCGAGCAAGTCTTTTGAATATACAATCCTAGATTAAGCTTAGTTTAGCCACCGTGCAGAACTCGAACCGGCGACCTCGATGCCAATGCTAGCTTGGAATTGCGAATAGGTAGCTTTGTAATCTGGGGTACAGTAAAAAAAATTTTTTTCTCCCTTTTCTCCTTAAAGAACCCCGCTTATGCTTTTAAAGGTTTTAAGACTAATCATTTTTCACTAAATCAGAAACTAAGGCCCTTCTGAATCCTTGGCAAAGCTTTAACATTAAGCAAGAGTTAACAGCTATATTCTTTAAATCCGTATCTTTAATTCAAAGGATGTGGCATCCTGGAGATGTGTTTGCAATCCTGGATTTAGAGGAAATGGTATAAATTGTACAGGTGAATACATAAGGATTTTAATAGTTAGTAAGAAAATATTATTTAAAGATGCCTGTCTAAATTTCTGCTTAAACGATGGAATTTGTAGGAAGAATAAATTGGGACATGTCGAGTGTTCTTGTAAAGAAAACTTCTCTGGAGAGCGTTGTGAAATACGTTTCCAGGTAATGGAAAACCATCTATCATTCCGGATTTTGTTACTAATCCTGTACTGGGAATCGTTTATTTTTTAGCAGAAATGACCCTCTTGTCAGTGAAACTTTAGTGCCCAACCACTGAAGAAGCTATGGTGCACATAGTCTTAAAGGGTGGACTATAATGTTTGCCGCCTTGTTTGTAAGAAGAGGGTCTTTAAGACTAAAGGGTCTCTAAGACTAAAGGGTCTCTAAGACTAAAGGGTCTCTAAGACTAAAGGGTCTCTAAGACTAAAGGGTCTCTAAGACTAAAGGGTCTCTAAGACTAAAGGGTCTCTAAGACTAGAGGGTCTCTAAGTCTCTCTCAGAGAGGAGGGTCTCTAAGACTTCACCGCCTAGCTCCGGAGCGGGCCAGTTGAGCCCCGCCGGTTGAGCGCCAGCCGACTTTGATCAGCCATAACTTTTTTGTGGTTGAATCACTATTAATGATTATTATATCATTCGAAAGCCCTCGATAAGCGGTATCTTTTTTCCAATGGACGGATCAAGTCTGATCACCGGTTAAAAAGTTACAAGTCGATAAGTGCAGGAAATCGTTGTTTTTCACACTTATCGTCTTGTAACTTTTTAACCGGTGATCAGACTTGATCCATCCATTGGAAAAAGATACCGCTTATCGAGGGCTTTCGAATGATATAAAACTTATTTGTATTGGATCAAGACTTAAAAAGTTTTAGCCGATCAAATTTCTCTGGCGCTCAATCGGCCGCGCTCAACTGACCCCAACCGCCTAGCTCTATTAATTACCTAATATTTTCCAGCCTCGTTCTCAAAAACTTGTTTACTGGACTGGCGCTATTGTGGCCGTGGTATTTCTCCTGATTGTTATTGTTGTAGTTATCTGGATGATTTCTCTACGTTTTAGTCGTTCATCAGACAATTCCTTTTGTAAAAATTTCTAGAAAAATCTTAAAAATTTTCTAAATTTCAATTTAGTGTCCTCTCCACTAGACAAACCAGCTCTTTCATTCACTCAAAGCACCACAGACTCTCCTTTAGCTTCCAACTTTCTTTACGGCCGCCCACCGCCTATACTCGACAGATCACATTCCTCTTCACTTGGAGGTGGTGGATCTAATTCTATAATTCACCCTATCGGTTTTTACTATGAAGATGATCAGTCTCCATATGATGGGGGTGTTGTAAGCGCCGTTAGCAGACATGGACGTGAAAATAGTCAAGAGGTATACACATTTTTTAAGTGCGTCCAAAAAGCTCGTCAATCTTTTTAAAGATGAAATCCATTTTTCTCGCTAGCACTGTACCAGATAACAACAACGAGGTAGTTGGAGGTTCATCTTCTGCCTCACACTCTCCCGGTCAACAAAATAATGGAGGAATTAAAGTTACAGGGACAACGAACACTACAAATAGCAGTGGAGGGTTAGTTTAATATTTATCAGGGGTCGGTCGGAATTTCCGACTTCGACATTCGATTTCGACATCTTCGACATTTCTGACCGTCTTCTGATGCATATAACAATTTAAAAAATAATATTCTTATAAATAGGTCCCCTGGATCAGCTACAAGAGCATTAGAACAACGCTTAAGGCACATACAGCAACACATGTACAGACCAATGGGAGATGGTTAAATTTAAATAAAAATTTTTAAAATTAAATATAAATATATATTTAAAGTATTAAATTAAATTATTAATTTTTATTGAATTCTCGTGCCAAAAATTTAATGTACTATAATAAAGATTGGAAATTAACACGTTTTTATTTAACAAATGAATTAGGTTACAGCCAGACCTTACTATACTAGTTGTAGGATAGTTGGAAATCTTCGGATATCCTGATCCGGATATCCGAACCGAAAATTTTCAGATATCAGGCCTTTTTCAGATCCAAATATCTTGATCCGAAAAAGTCAGGCTCTTAGAAGACATCTATAACGTAATATCAAACAAATTATAGTAAAAATTCTGAAAAAACCAGAAATTCCAATCTCTAATTAATCATTTTAAAATTCTCCCAGCACATTTTTAGAACATTTTTTGTATTTTTGTTTAATTTATCAACAAAATTAACAAATAAATTTTTACATTAATTAATTAATTATCCAATAGGTATCCCTTTAGGGGGCGTCATATCACCACACATATTACAAGCTTCTTTACACTGCCATCTCATTAGATCAAGATAAAGCTTAAATTTTATTTCCTTAATTTAAAAAATCCTTTTTTACCTCCATCTTGCAATACCCAGCCTTTTGTCTGTCAGGGCAGTCTGTCCCCAAATTCTGACAAACCCCACATTGGTTGCAGGTCTTTTTACAATCGCGGTACATTCCCTCGTAGGCATACTTTTTTAATGAAAAAAATTTTTTTTGAATATTTTTGAGCCGAGGCATAGTCGAACTCGTTATTTTTAGATAAGTCCCTCTACCATTAAGATGCTACATCTTTTGGAATTAAGGTAGGAGCATAAAATTTTGTCATGCATACCACTTGGGCAACTCCCTTCTATTATCCTATGAAAAGATTCATTGCATGGGAGATGGGTAGAACATAAGCCCAGACCAAAGCACAACTGTCTTATGACCATAAGGTTGAACCTTGATGGTACAACCCCTATGCTTGCTAAGTTTCACTCATTCAATTTCGTTCTAACGACAACAACTACACCCAGTAGTCAATCAAAATTTTTCTGTGAGTAAATATAAGGATCGACTCTATTTTTATCATTAATAATACTTACAGCAACTATACAAAGGTCTGCTTTAGTCTCGCAATCACCCAAACTGTCCGTACAGTCTATAACATATTAAAATTATTTTAAACACTATGCCAAAAAATTTTAAAAATTTCAAGACCAGTTCCTCCTCCTCCAGTTCCTCCGCCTGTGCCCCCACCAGTTCCTCCTCCTTGAGCTCGAGTACCTATATTACATAATTTTTGGCAATAGAATGAAGCCTACAGCAGTAATCATCCCCTGTTGAAACATGCATACATGTCTTTGATCTGTCGCTTTGACATACTCCATTAGTACACATACAAAATTATTTAAAAATTATTTGGATAATGGAAACGTGAAGAATTTTCGGGAATTTCAATTAAATTTTATTATTTGGGCTTAATAAAGTAACTAATGTAGCAGTATCAGAGTGCGTCCAAAAAGCTCGTTTATGTAATAAGCATTTTTCGGGATCGCTCCTCAGGTTCGGTATCTCTCAAGAACCAAAATATGTTTTTCCGTCAAATGATCCCTTTCCTTCCCTCAAACATTTTTTAAGAACATTAAGATACTTTGGAGTGCTATCAATCAGTATTTGAGTTTTTGCAGCGTCCTCACACCGTTGAGGACAACAATAGAAATTTCTATTGCCATTAGCATCAGTATATTGTTCACACCCCCATTGTGTGTTTTTCTGGCAACGCATTTCTTTTAATGCAGGTTGGGTTCCAGCTGTTTGTGGTACTCTTGTACACCTTTAAATTTAATTTTATGAGTTTATCGAAGCTTTACAAGAATGAAAATTTTCTAGAACCCAAGTCTGAAACGATATCAGGTGTGTGCCATCTCTCTCTCATCTCTCCCTTTGCCATCTCTCCCTTCGCCATCATCATCTCTCCCTTCGCCATCATCTCTCCCTTCGCCATCATCTCTCCCTTCGCCATCTCTCCCTTCACCATCATCTCCCCTTGCCATCATCATCTCTCCCTTCGCCATCTCCCTTCGCCATCTCTCCCTTCGCCATCTCCCTTCGCCATCATCTCCCTCGCCATCATCATCTCCCTTGCCATCATCATCCCTCCCTTCGTAAGCACACCCCTGAACTACATCACATAAGCGAGATACAAGACCTAAACTCGACCCCATGACTTAACATCGAAAAATCTTTGGATTATCATTATAACCGATACTATAGGGAGAAATCCGTAGTGCCTTTATAGCAAATATGTTGTGATTTTTGAATGAATAAAAATCAGATTTTAGAAACATGGGAGAGAGAAAGCAGGGGGTAAGGGTCTAATTAGTCCTGATAAGGCCAGTAAGGGCCTAATTCTCGATTTTTTAAAATTACTTGTTCGAAGCATCATTTGGATCAAAAGTGATTCCACCACAGCTGTACGACGCAGCATTAATTAATGACAAAAAATTATTTAAAAATAAATTTAAATAAAATATTTTAAAGCTTATTTTTAATTTTATTAATTTTATTAACATTTTAAAAATTAAAATTGATTGGAGGGGAAAATTTTAAAGCTTTTTGGTTAGCTAATTAAACAAAAGGATTAAAGTGGGCAATTAAATGATTTTAAAAATTAATAATTGTAGCGTATTAATGCAAGTTACGAGAACGTGTCTCTCTCCACAAGATATGTGTCTCTCTCTCACAAACTAGGTAGTTAGAAGAATAACTCAAGAATAGAATAATATTCTTTATCACAAGTGTACATTTTGTCTTCTGCGAATGAAAGATACTAGCAAAACTGGGTATTTAGTAGTGATGTTCGAGACTCTCGGTCTCGACTCTCGGCTTTTTGTGACTCTCGAACATCACTAGTATTTAGTAGTACCTTTGGGAAAATTTTGGCTTTCTAGCCCTTTAAAATTTAAAAATTTGTGCCAACGGCGGTAATTTAAAAGACATGGGACCTCTTCAAAGAATTTTTCCAAGCCCTCTGCTTATCAGACATCTAAACGGATTATTGGGTTATCTACTGAATCAGTTTCAACAGATGCATTTGTTAATGATTTAGTGGATGGGTGCTACTGGGGGCGCCACTCCTTACAGAAAACGCGCGCCACTCATTACAGAAAGTGAGGAGGAGGGGGCACTCCTTACAGAAAAATGCAAGAAACGGAGTGAAAGGTGCCTATTCCTTCACAGGTGGGGAGTCAACTAGACATTTAAAGGATTTTGTAAAGTTGTAGAGGTTTTTAAAAACCTCGGTAATCATCAAACATCAGACCTCGACCAGAATTTGCCCCTCGATCTCGGCTTTTCCAGCCTTGGTGATCCTCGATCTCGGTTTTTAACTCGACCTCGTGCAACTCTACTTTTAATATATCTTAACGCCTAGTGAGCCTAGTCTTTCTCTACCTTACAACAGTAGTCAGGTCAGTGCCATCATGATTTGGAACACTTAAGGACACACTAAAGAATCTCTAGACTCATAGCGGAGACTAAATAATTTCGCCTTTCGTCTTTCGCCTTTCGCCGATTTTCGCCTTTCGCCCTTCGCCGTTCGCTTTTTAAATCGACTTTCGGCACACCCCTGGTATCCGGGTCTCAGATAAACGACATAAACGGTATACGGTTTTTTCAAAATTAAAGGGTTTTGTGTAACCCTAATTATTAAGCATTAACATTTATTAACATTTTCTATATTTTTAAATAAAAATTAAATTAAAAAATATTTTTATTAGCATTAACACTTAATCAAACAACTCAAAATTAAAAAATAAATTTAAATTTTCTAAATAAATTTTTTATAAAATAAAATTTCCATATATGGCAATTTTAAAAATTAAAAAAAAATAATTTTGAGTAAAAAAAATAATTTTAAATGCATTCTAGTTCATTTAACTAGTAGGCATTTGCAAAATAATATTTTTAGGTATTGCTTTAATTTAGTGATAAAAAAAAATTTTTTTATTCGAGCAGGTTCAAATATGGTTAAACAATATCCCGATATTTTATTTTTTATTATTAAATTTAGCAATATTCAATTTAGCAAGAGTTTCAATTTAGCAACAAGTATCATGCCAATAAATATGAGGCTCTACGCCCCAAAATTATTAATATTATTATTCATTTATTTTTAAAATTAATTAAAGCATTCATATGCCTCTAATAATTCTTCTAATTTTTTTATTGTTCACTACTATTGACTTCTGAACGTCCACTAACCCTTATAGAAAAGCTGTTTCTCGCGTCTGTCCAGGGATTCTCCTGGAGCTTGACCTGGGAGCTTAATCCTGGAAGCTTAACCCTTGAGCTCTGGCTCTAAGCTGTTTCTCGAGTCAAGGGATTCTCGAGTTTGTCGAAGATAACGAACTAAACAAATTTTTGTTAAATATATTCTAGCTAACGACCACCAATCTTTAAGGGACGCCTTGGTTTTTTCTAAATGTTGATGACCAAGAGAGCTCTGGAAAAAAAATTTCCATGATTATAAAGCAGGGGTGTACGAGTTTCGCCTTTTGTCTTCCGCTTTTTAAAATCACTTTCGGCACACCCCTGTTATTTATAAAGCATATGTATATGTAGCATCTATTTACTTCCTATAACTATGAAGGAGGGGGTGTGGTGTATTACCTAGCATTAATCACGTTAATTGAAGATGCTTGGCCTCTCCTAGAAGATGCTGATTCACTCTAAATAACCTTTTGAATTAGCTAAAGGGGACATAGCTAGTCTGTGCCCCTTTTCGAAAAAAAATTTTGAAACGAAAAAGAAAAAAAATTTTTTCCGAGAGAAAAAAAAATTTTTTTCACATCTCTATCATGCCCCTCAAATATTTTTAAAAAATTATGTTCTAAAAAATAAAAAAATTTTTAGAAAACAAGCATGCTTATTAATATTCCCAATTTAATTATCCCCCTTTTATTATTTTTATTTTATAAATTAATTAATTGT